CACTCAGATGGTTGCATTTCCTCTAATGTGGCGTATCAGTGACATTTACACCCTCTGTATAAACTGATTCTTACAGTGAATCTTTTCATTTTTGGCATTTCACCTCTGAGATGCCTGAAAGCACAATCAACATGTAAGGCTTGTGTGGTAGAGTATTAAATACAGGGGTCAAGAGGTGAAAACAAATGTTATTATATTAACACTGGTCTGGTTTTTCCTCACAATTTGTTCCAGGAAAATGACTAATCTGTTGTAAAAACTTGGTGGCATACCCACTAATGAAGGAGAACCTGGGGCTACAAAAGAATTAACACCTGATGAAACATGTTTTTAATCAACTTTGTTCCCCTAAGTTTTTCTTTATTTGCCAATGAAATCCTTGTGGTTATTCATCACTAGACTGTAGAAACACGTAAAAAGAGTCCCAAACACACATTGTATCCAAACCTTTTGACACGACTGTAAACACATTGGTGTGAAGAAATCACTCCTGGAAGAAAATTCCTAGAAAGCGGAAACACCTCATAGTGTTCTGCACTGCTGGCGTCAAAAGGCTTAGTCCAGAGCTCTTTTGCTACACTGAATGGCGTAATATCATCTTTATGCATATTCAGTGCCATTTTTTTTTTTTTTACCTTAACATTTTTAAACTTCTCCCTTGTGTCCCTGTGAGGGTGTGTGAAACAATGTATTGTTTATAGCATTATGTGCTCGTACTATCACCCCACTATAGTAACAAAAACAAGTCTTTGCACTTTATAATTATTTTATTACATGTTTATATTTTCTGCCACATTACAGACGATTTTCCTTTTTTTTCATCTTGTAAATTTGAGGTATGTTAATAAAACTTGAATAATGATCACATTTTGATGGTGCTTCAAAATGGGATGTGCTGATGTCTTCATAAAGTCTCTGTTAAGTCTTTATAGCAGTCTTTGTACTGCTCTGCCTGCCGCACATTCTCATCAATGTTTCATCCACCTGTTGAAACGCCTGACGTAGACTAGGTGGAGTCCACCCACAATGACTGATCAAATTGCGGAAGTAGTGGACAGGTACGGTAAGCTGAGGTGGGTCAAATGTCACATCATCGAAGCTAAAGAGGAAAAGTACTTCTGCCTTCACAATAAAAGCTTGATCCCATGCCCCATTCA